GTAACAATACACTCTGTAGAGTCTCTTCTAATTCATTTGCCATTTCCCCCGCCTTTTTAATTCCTGGCTCTTACCTTTTTTTATACTTAAGGAATAGCTACCTGATCAATTGATTTTACATTCTGCTACCCATCTAAAATTCCCATATTTCAGGTCTTGACAAATCATTCTCTTACTCAGACAATCTTAATAAACTTCTATTGCCAATAAGAATTCTGAACTTCTTAGCTCTCACTCCCAAATATGGCCTGTAATTTCCACCACCATGCTTTTGCTCAAACCATATTACTTCCTTAATAGTGAGCCATATAATGCAATTGTTCTCTGAATTTCTGAATTGATGAAATACTTCTCTCTCCCATCATTCTAAGCATATGCATTGTTACCATGGCTCTTCTAGGCTCAATCCATATCCACAATGGTTTATTATAGAGACATCTCTCAAGATTCAGTGTAACACTGTATAGTATTTTTTGCACTGTTTTGGTTTCTTTAATGAGAATTGGAGCATCCTAGCAGATGAAGAACAATTTTACCTCACTGGTTGGAGGAACAGCCCTTGGCATCCTCACAAAGCGGTGCCCTTAATGCACAGGTATTTTTGTTTTTTCAGTTGACCCCTTTCCTGAGTCTCTGCCTTGGTATCCAGAGCAAAGAATGCTCATGAGTTTCAAAGCATGGGTTGGCCAGCAGTTGTTTCTTTTAATCCAGCCTCATCAGCTTCTGAGTTCATGAAAATGCCTTTGAGATTCCAGAAATACTATTCTTAATCTTCAGTGCTATTGTAAGTGTTGATATTTTCTGTGTCTTCAGAGGTATTTCATTTGGAACTGCGTTAAACACTACTAACTAGTTGCTATTTTACAATGAAAATCCATTTTTGTTGGCACTTTAAAAGCTTACTGTAAATAGACACTCAAAAAAATAGATGAAGCGAGTTAATAAAGCCAGAAAATAGTCATTGTTGTATTACACACATGAAATAAACATATGCCTCACTCTGACCACACTGACTTCTTTTGTTCCCTTGACTATGCAAGAGTTTTTCCCTCCTCAGGCCTATAAACAGGCTGTTCCCTCTGCACAGACTCCACCCCACTTGACCCTCACACACATTTCCATCTGTTTCCATTGTAGATCCTACTTTATCCCTCACAACTTAGCTTCAGTGTCACTTCCTCACAGAGGCATTCCCTAACTCCCAATATGTATTTGATTGGATCCCTCTGCTCTACGTTCTTCTAGTACCTCATAATTTCTTTCAGGGAGATTATCAAAATCTGAAATTATATATTAGTTCAGTCATTTGTATATTATCTATCACCCATTTTAACCTCAACTCCAAAGGCATGGAGTGTGTGCTCTAAAACGGCAGAAGCAATATCTGTTTCGTTTGAAACTATATATCAGAAGTTTGGCATAGCTCCTTGCACATAACAGGAGACAGGAAATAAAAATTTAAGTCACTTTTGAGTACTCAAGAGAGGATTAAGAATGAAAAATAGCTTATGTATTTTATATAGCTTTATATACTTTATATAAAGCTTCATATACTTTTATAGCTTATATACGTTTACAGCCTATATACTTTTACCAACATGACTTTTGAAATAATGGTCACTCTATGCGGCAGATGACACCATGACACTCAGGATCTTTAAGTCCTGAATCGATTTCCACAGTCTTTCAATCATTTCTCCAGAAAGAATTGCTGCTGACAAAGCAAGCCACCCAAAAAGAAAATGCTCAGAGCAATTCTAAACCCAGGGTTAGTCTATTAGTGCTTAGAAATAATTTCAGGAAATCTGTGGTGAACACAAATTCTGAAGATTGAGAGAGTTATTATTCAATGAACACATCTTAAATTGAACACATGTCAAATCTCCATGGCATGTCCTTGACAGTACCACCTCACTCATGTGAGACTTTAAACACATTAGGGATGTTTAATTACTTTATCTTTTCAGATTAAAACTATACATTACTGGGCTTCCCTGGTGGCGCAGTGGTTGAGAGTCCGCCTGCCGATGCAGGGGACACGGGTTCATGCCCCGGTCCGGGAGGATCCCACATGCCGCGGAGCGGCTGGGCCCGTGAGCCATGGCCGCTGAGCCTGTGCGTCCGGAGCCTGTGCTCCGCAACGGGAGAGGCCACAACAGTGAGAGGCCCGCATACTGCAAAAAAAAAAAATCAAAACCGTACATTACTCTGTGAAGCAGCCTTGACTCTGAGATATGCAAAATGCTTTTTGTTTTAATATATTGAATCTGTTGGAAATACTCCAAAATAGTTTCCTATTAAAGAAATCCTATGGTCTAGGCTTTGTAAGTAGGCAGCCTTTTGTAACATGAATAATGTCCTTGTCTCATTTACTAGTAATTATTTGACTATTGAATTTTCTCAAAGAAGGACTCTTGCAGAACGTAGCCCCATTACGAAGCAAATAATCCCCTAGGAAACTTGCTAAATCAGCCCAAATTCCAGGCAAACATAATTCTATTTTGTGTCTTTATAAGCAGGAAGGAGAAAGAACAACATTCTGTAAACTACTATATTCCACTTATTTTCCCTTAAAAAACAAAAACAAAATAAAGTCTCTAATGTAGATTACTTAAATTGACATGATCAATAGAGAATAATTGTGCTGTGGAAATGAGTGCCAAGGCTTAAAAGTCCCTTAGTAGAGGGTATTAATTACTGAGCTTCGGCCTTTACCTCTTGAACACAGACCATGTGATCTGAAGGGCCTGAGCTGGAATTCAGCTCCTCTGTTTTCAAGCTGTTTATGCCTGTGGAAAACAAGCAGCATAAAAATCCCACAGGTTTGTAGAGGGAGATGAATATTTCATATAAAGTCCATGGCATAGCACCTGCCATATAATAAGCCCTCAAAAAGCAATGACTATTAAGATAACGCAAACCCTTGAAGAAAAGAAGCAACCAACGGGAATAAATAAATGGTTTACAATGACTGCATGATATTTATATTATTAAAATGTAGACATTTTAAACAAGAGTGAATAAATGATTGGACATTTGTGTCTGTGAAACAGCAGTGTGTGTGTGTGTGTGTGTGTGCGTGCGCGTGCGGGTGTGCATGTGCACACGCGTGTCCACGTGAGTTCACGCACACATGATTTTCTTACTGGGGAATAAATGAAGAACTCTTAGCTGGTGGGTGAGGATTAACATCCCACCCAGTCCGTGTTACTTTCCTGTTCTGGATAGTATATCTAGATATTACCAACCCTTGCCTGACAGCACCTTTGCAGAAAAGTTCTCTTTTTCTTGTGTTATTTTCCATCTGGATCTAAGTGAGGGGAAAAGAACAGCATAAAGGAAAATACCATTTTGGTTGAGTTAGATTTCATCTTACAATATTTTGGGGGGAAAAATTAATTGAATATGCACTGTTTTTCTTAGCCAAGAATATGTTCTTTTCTCCATCTCTTTCATGTGGCCATCCCAAAGTACCCAGATGTGACAGTATGCTGATCTCAAACCAATTTCTGGCAACAAAAAGGTATAGGTTTCCCTCCCTGTTCTTTTGGTATCACCTCGATTAAGAAATTCTTAAGGAGGAGACTCTAAATACTGTGCAGTTTCTAAGAAAACCAACAAGCTGTTAATGAAGTAAATATCTGTTTAATTTACAAACATCAGTAGTGTAACTGATATTAGTCTGGAGAAAGACAAAGCACACTGAATTATACATGTACGTCTAGTTTTCTTTGTATAAATGTTTTTGGAAAGAAACATCTGCATCTTTACAGGGTACCCTGGGATTTTAATGAGGGAAGAGCACAGTCCACTATAAATCCTTATCAATTCTACATTGTAACTTAGCAGCAAACATGTTAACATGGGAACATTAAGGTAATAAAGGAGCTTTATTGTTTGGGAAAAAAAAAAATCACAGTTCTTGACATTACAGCCTTTTCTCTCCCCGCCCCACCGGCGGTAAAAGGGCAAAAAAAGTCGAGGAAATAATTAACTTGTAAAAGATCTACTTTTCTAGTGTCGATTGCTACACACCATTTCTGTTCTGAGAGGACACGCTGCAGAGGTGCGCTTCTTTCTGTACAATGACCGTCTCACGCATAGACTTTACATACCCTCTGCAGGTGTCCTGAATGAGGCCAGTAGGTCAGTGACACCAGTGGTCAGATGTCAAGGTAAACAAACAGATCAACACATATTTATCCCAAGATAACACCTTATGTTAGTACTATTGCCAAAAAAAACACAAAAGAATCCCGATTTTTAAGTTTGAAAATGTACAAAAATATCAGGACAATTATAAATTAATATATATTAAAGCATTGAGAAACAGCAAAAGGATGGCCTAGAATGTTAAGTACAATGTACTTTGATACAATAAATATTTCTCATTGAAACCGAATACTGTATAGGGCTGTTTAGAACTCATAGAAACAAAAATTCATATTATTACTAATTTATTTATCAATAATCTATTGGTTCTTTATCATCTCCTTTGTCATTTATATTACAAAAAATTAATACTGGAAAACGGTAGATAAACACTTTTGTGTGCTTCTCCTGCTAACATGCTGACGTTTAAAAAGAAGATAAAATTTATTTTAGCACTCTCGTCTCCTCTGATGAATGGAACCCAGGTCGTCAGGATACTTTATATTTTGCACAAAATATTTCTCATCCATTCATTCTGGCTGTGAATGCTGGAGTTCCATTCATCTGCCTTGCACCCTCACTCACACACATGTGCTTGGTCTGTCCTCATGAACTGCGTAGATGCAAACCAGGGCACAGGGGATTATGCTCTGGGCAACTTCACATCAGCAGAGAGAACCTCGTCTCTCCCCTGGGTATGTGCTTCTGCTGGTCTCCAGCAAGTTACGAAGATGAATCCAAGTTACCATGGTTTCCATCATTGCTCTAATGCCTTCAGGTGTATCATTCTTTATACTTCTCCAGTGTTGGGGAAGCTTTAGTTCAAGCATTTCTTTTTTTTTTTTTCTAAATGCAGAAAAAAGTCTTCATTCTCATAATAAAAATAAGTCTGTTCTGTATTTTACAATATATTTCAATTATTTCCACTATGAAGCATTCGTGAGTCCAACAGGGTCAAGAAGTATACAACATTTTCCAAAGACCAAAGCTGCCAGGGACGTGGTTTAGGAGGCGCAGTGGGTACAACCACACTTCACCACCTTCTCAACCTCGTCCACAAACGATGATCCATCAGTGCATTCGAAAGTGTATTTCCGTCGCTTGCTCCTCAGAGGTCCGCAGCACTGCCCGCCTGCACACCCCCCTCTGCATTCCAACCGGGAGACCTTCTTAGTTGTTTGGCAAGCGGCATAGCCCTGCTGCTTTTGGTAATAATCTCTTATCCGTTCCCCTCGACAAGAGATTTCTAGAAAAGAACAAAAAGCACAAGCAGTATAAGGGCAGTCGCTGTAAGTCGTGCGAAGTGGCCGTGAATCTACAACTCAGTTCAGGAGACACTGCTTTCGCTTCCTGTTTGTAACGGCTATTTTCAGTGTTATGCTGTTCCATATTATGGCCTGGTGGCACAGCCTTCAGTTCTTTGAAAAACACTTCTTTTCGGCCTTTATTTTGAGCAAAGTGAATACTTTATATGTGGACTGTAAATACTATGCTTTCAGGCTGACAAGAAAATTGGATTCCTAAATCTTTTCTTTTATAGCAAAAATATACATCTTCTGTTTTTACACTACTAACAGCTGGTTTTGTTTACCAAGGGCGCCGTTTCAGAGAGTACGCAATTTAATTTATTAGACCTGGAGTTTAATATCGTTCAATCTGTTACTTAATACAAGTAACATTCCACTAACTTCATAAATTACCCAAGTATGAACTAGTTCAAAAAGAGACATCTGCTAAAAGCCTCCATGGGCACGTTCCTCTCGTCTCATCCCTCCGATACACACAACAAAATCCCTGCCAGCTGGAGGCAAAGCACATTCTGATCACGCAGACACAGGAGAAGGAAATAGGTGGGCTGAAATGTCAGCCTGTTTCCATCCCTCTCACCTGCATAATTTACTGTGATAAGTCAGTGGATTCTAAGGTCAAAGGCGATTTTGTCCTAAAACTAGAGCAGAATTATTAGTACCGTCTTCTCTGTGCCAGAAGATGAATCAGTAATCTGTACAGATGAGAACAGCAGGTAAAGGTAAGAAAGAAGGAAAGTAAATGTGCTCCTGCCTAAGGGAAAAGTAGTATTTCATAGCAAATCAAGTGTGAGAAGACTTGTGAAGGGTGTATAATATCTTGCAATGGAGGTTTAGCATTTCACATCTGTGCCTTCCTATAACACTGTTAAGTAAATCAACAGCAGCAACTACAAATAGTGCAAAGACCTGGCATTCCTCATATCACTCCCCTCTGTGTGTCTTCCTTTCTCTCTCTCTCTGTTCAAAGATAGGGGCCCCTCTTGCTTTGCCAAGATAGAGGTCGGTACCCAGCTGGGTTGGCTTACCTCGATCACAGCTGTCCCCAGTGTATCCACTGCTGCATTCACAGTAGGGCTGTCCCAGTCCTGAGAGCCTGCATTTCCCATGCTTACACTTGATCGCCTGGCAGGGGTTAAACAGATCCTCCTCTTCATCACAGAGGACGCCCCCATGGCCCTCCAGGCACTTGCAGCTGTAGGAGAACGCGTTGATGGGCAGGCAGGTGCCATGGACGCATCTACAGTGGAGGACCGCAGAGATGGAAATGGGTCAGGCAGAGAGGATAATAATGGAGGAGGGAGGATGATGGATGGAATATAAGGGAGACAATGCTAATGAACTGACTTCTTTCTCTCCCTTCCCCACCCCCCTTTCCTTCTTTCCTCTCTGGGGTTTTGCTTTGAGGGTTGGAGTGTGTGGGTTTAACTACCAAGCAGCCCAGACTCACTTATTTCCAAGACAGGGGTCATTGGTCCTCTGGTCACAGAGGGGCCCCGTCCATCCTTCCTGGCACTCGCAGGTGAAGCCGGACTGGGTGCTAGGCTGGCACGTGCCGTGGGCACACACCTTCTTGTGGCACGGCTCACAGCCGGGCAGGATGCCGGTCTGCATGGGCACCTTCCGGAAGTCCTGCAGCTCGCTGTTGATGTAAAGGTTCCGGATGCAGCCGTGGAAGCTGGTGCCGTTCCGCCCGGGGGCCTGGCGCAGAGCTGCGGCCACATTGTTCTTCCCGGGCATGCCTGCAGGGGAGCACCAAGTCAGAGGTCACGCCCTTCCGTGGCTCCACAGCCAGTGGCCACCCGGACCCTCTTAGCTCTTCTAGCGAGGCAGGAGTCTGCGTGACTCTGCTTTAGGAGAACCAGGCAGCACAAGCATCCCGTCCTGCACTTCTCAACCTGGCTGCACATCAGAATCATATTGGATCTTTGAAGAAATACCGATGCTTGGGACCTCAGCCCAGACGGATTTGATCAGATTAACTGGGTGGAGTGGGGGAGGGAGAAGGGATGTGTGTTTCTTTGTTTTTGTTTTTTTGGAAGATGCTCCAGGCAATTCTAATGCACAACTAGAATAAAGAACCTAGTTCACTGGCGGTCAATCTTTAGTTTCTAACATGTTTTGTTTTTGTTTTTTTAAATTAAAAAAACCCTTATATGGAGGCATGAATCTATAAATCCTAAAATCAGGGCCACTGTACTTAAAAGCAAGGTTGGGAATGGGGGAGGGATTCGTACTCCCTTCTACCTCCACACCCACCCCCTAACCTTGACACACAGCCCAGAAGCCTAGAGCCAGACTGATTCCCTGACCAATCCTGCCCTTTAAAGATGAAGGGCCCAGGGCCCAGAGAGCTCGGCGACATGCTCGGTGTCACCAGTAAGACTGGGTTAGAATTAAGCCGATGACACAAACTTCCCCAATCTCAGGTCATGGTTCAGTCCCCTGATTTTCAGAGGGTGAGAGCAGAGCTGGGGTTCACAGGGACCATTCACCCCAGTCCTGCCAAATTCTAAGCTGGCAGCTAGTCCAGCTCACCACTGGCAATGTCCCAAACTCAGCCGTGGATGTCAGTGTCTGAAAAACTCACCCTGCTTCCAATCAGGACAGCACCTCATTTACATCCTTTTTTTTCCTTTGCTAATTGAGAGTGAAACCTTCATATCCCAAGAAATCAGGACTATAAAAGAAATTCCTCCAAAACCAGAATTTGCAATCTTTGTGTGTGTGTGTGTGTGTGTGTGTGTGTGTGTGTGTGTGTGTGTGTGTGTATTCCACCAGTGACGGTCATCTGGTAATCCTTATCTGACAAAACTGAGGAATCTTTCCATGGCCTAAGCCAGACCCTGAAATAGTTGCTGGATGGGATCCTACATGAGGCAACCATCCAGGTCGCTGCAGGGGAGGGGAGGGAGTCAAGGCCTTTAGAGCAGCTGACCTTACCCCACAGCACTCACACCATCCCTGCACCTGGACTCTGAGCTACTGGTTGGAGGGTCGAGGCTGGAAAAGACCAGGGCTCTCACTCTCTAGAGGGTTTGTTGGTTATAAAGACCACGAACCACAGTACTCTACTTTCTGGGTGCTGCCTTGTGGCAGCATCTCCTTTCCCATTTGAAGGAGCTCCATCCGAGGTCGCAGGCACCAAAGTCAGATAGCCGCTTATACAAAACCACTAGGCTAGAGGTCAAAGTTTGTATTTTTGGCCTGTGTGCACTTGAGCCAGTCATTTCCCCTCTCTGGTGCTTAGTTTTCTCATCTGTAACATGAGTGTATGGACCAGACCAGTTGTTTCCAAGCCCGTCATACATAAGAGCCACCAGAGGGGCGCTGTTGAGAAGGCAGCTTCCCAGGCCCCCATCTCTCCTCACCTGAGATTCTAACCCAGAATGAAGGTGTGGGCATAGAAATCGCAATGTTAACATGCAAGCTCAGGTGACTCTGGTGCAGGTGGTCCTGGTCACATTTTGACAGGTACTGAATTAGTGTCTAGGATTTGAAGGTCATGAGTTCAAGTTTTTAGTCTGTGTGTTTCTGGCCTTGGGAACTGGGTTGCTTTGTAGAGTGGGGTCAAAAGGATGGAATGTTCCATTTCCAGGAGAGGACTAGTGACTGGGAATTCCTTGTTTGGGGGTAAGTTCTTCTCACATAGTCATACCCATCCATCCAAAACATGTGGACTTTTTTTTTTTGTGGCCTCTCCCGTTGCGGAGCACAGGCTCCGGATGCACAAGCTCAGCGGCCATGGCTCACGGCCCAGCCACTCTGCGGCACATGGGATCTTCCCGGACCGGGGCATGAACCCGTGTCCCCTACATCGGCAGGCGGACTCTCAACCACTGCACCACCAGGGAAGCCCAAACATGTGGACTTCAATGTCCACACATTTATGGTCCTTTCTTCAGAGGTTAAAAAAGGACTTCTTCCAAGACTGTTTTCAATTAGTCACACAACACACATATGTGCACATGTCAAGACTAACTACAGACCCATGAAGTTCCACAGCAGGGAGAAGCAATTAGTAAATGTGTTCCTTCTATTCCCAAACTAACAATGATAAAGGTCTAGCTTTGATTGTAGTAATTTTTAAATGAAAATGTTGATACATCACACATATAGTTACTTTCAGTAGGATATCATGAAGTCAAGAACTATCTTAACTCAACCTTTTCAGGTGCTTGGTAGACTTCTGACCAGGGAACTAAGTCTTAACTGAAAAACAGAAGTAGATCCATGTTTTTTTTCCTCTAGCCTTTCCTCTATGCCATGGACCATAGCTGGAATTCAATCTATCAAACAATAGGTAACTTAGCAGACAGTTTTTAGCCTTAACAAGCTCTACATATTTCAAAATGAAAATAAACGGACAAAGTGTCAACCCTGATGTCTTCTGTCCAATGGGGGCCTTAGAAGAAGATGTGTGGTGCACGGAGGGGTCTCTATGTGCAGTTCTTTACTTTAAAAAAAAAAAATCCCTTTAAGTAATGTACGTTCTGGTTGGACTATTATACAGAAAAAAACATAAAGATTACATTGCTTTGTATTAAGTAAAGCCTACATAATGGGTAGTTGAAAACCCAAAGGTAGGGAAACCTGCCTCCCTGTTTTGCTAGAAAATACTCCTGCAAGGGCCTAAGGCATGGAGTGCATCATCTTTGGGCCATCTTCCTTGGGGAGTGTTCCTGTTTGCAGACTTTGAGAAAAAAGAGAGCTTGTTTACCTTGCTCTCCTTTGCTAATTCAGGTTCTCCTGCCTTTACCATAAAGAATTCAGGGCTGCAGTCTTAGGACTGCATTGTATTTTTAAAATCCGAATTACCCTTGAGATTGTCCTCTGAGTGGGAAGGAAATGAGCCCAGTGTGTTCTCTGGCAGTGAGGCTGGTTGGAAGTGGGAAGAGGCACCATCTGGATCCTTCCAGGCCCTCTACCCTCAGAAGGATTAGCACTTCTCAGTACTAATTTAAAACATGTTTTTCCCCTTTTTGTAAAAATGTTCTGGCCCAAGCATTCCCATTATGTACTTATTATTTTCTCCACATTCTAAAGGGGTCTTAAAAGATTTAATGAAATGATTTCTAATGAAAACATAATAAAATCAAGTGAAGGACAAGTCCAGAAATAAATGAAAAGCCACAGAACTTAGACTGCTTCCTTTTCTGCTCCATGTTAAGAAGGTGAGTGGCAATGCAGGTGGCTTTGGGGTTAGACAGACCTAAACTCAAACGAGGTCTCTATCAACTTGGACATATTCCATGAAGTCCCTTAGGGGTTATAAAACAAAAAATCATACCTACTTCCTAAAGTCTCTGAGGGTTAAGACTGTAAAAGCAGCATTGCATTGAGCACACAACATATGCTTAGTAAATAAAATTTCTTTTCTCTCCAACCACAGGTAACATCTGTGACTTGCTTCACCCATGCCAAAGCAACTGCCATTCATGGTAATGCAGGCGAGAATGGACGGCCTTTGCCTGTTAATGAATCCCACAGTGTGATTCCCATGAAGCAAATAGATCAGTCAACTTGCTGCACGGACTTAATATGAGATACTTTTATTACAAATGTATTATGGTTTCGTGAAGATGTGACTGCCTTCCCCACTCCCCTGGCACAGAAGGGATATTTCTTTTTCAGTTTTGTATTCTTCATGCACCTATTAGTTTAGTTCTCAGCTTATGGGAGGTGCTCAATAAATATTTACAGAAATGAACCAAAGACTTTTAACTGCTTTAAAAAAAATCAAAAGTATATCAGTGTTCAGATTTTCTACTGCTGAAATTATTAAAAACAGAAGTGCTCTGGAATGATGTGAAGTTCATGAAAATACCTGTCATGGTGAAGAAATTGGTTACATTGACCTGTTCAGAAACTTTAGCTGATTTATCTGTAAAATGACTTAATTTTATCAGTCAATTCAATGTAATTTAATTCAGTGCAACTCAATTCAAAATCATATGCTTTCTTGGTCCTTTGCCTGAAAGTTGAAATTCTGTCTCCAGTATATATTTACTCCTCCAGATAGAGGTAAAAGTACAAGCTCTCTCCATCACAGGTCTTCTCCTCTGAGCTCCTTCAGAAGTTTGCTCAGACTCTATCCCTCATCTGTTTACTCATCTGCCTTCACGCTGCTTAAAAATAAAGTCGAGCCTTCACTCTGTCATTCCAGGCCCTGATCCACCTTTCTGACTTTCTCCCTTGTTCATTCACCATAAGGTCTTAGCTAAAGAGATGTACTTCCTGCTGCCCCAATACAAGTTGTACATTTAATTTGTTCATTCATTCATTTGATTTCAGTAATAATTATCCTATCCTGTACATGAGTTCGCAGCTGACAGTAGAGGCATTCCAGCACAGCGACATTTAACTGAAGCTGGTAGTGTTCGCCTCCTTAATAGTGCTGGGGTGGGTCATGCGCTCCTCAGTTTGCATCACACTTGACTCCCATCTTCTTCATTGTCTGTATTTGACCTCTAACCAGCTTTCTTTTTCCTATACACCAGAATAGTAAGATTAGATTATATGATGTTTAAATCACCTAGTATGTGACAGACACAAAAGAAACATTAATGTCCTTCCCCACTCCAACCACACATTTTGTTAGACCCAGAGCCAGGGTCACAACATGGCCTCTTATCGCCCATTTAGGGCTCTTTCTTTTCTATCCTTGCTGTCCATCTTTCAATGACTGATCAATGACCATGGCACCAGGCATCAACAACTTCAGGATCAGTCTGTGATGAGCATCACAGGGTTTGGGAATCCACGGAATTTGGAAAAGCGCTTACCTCCGACATAGAGTGGGGAGTCAAAATTCAAAGTGGACTGCTTTGACAAGTTGGTGATAATTTTGGGGCTCCCTCCATCCACAGAGAGGGAGAGACTCTGATCCAGGGCGAGTAGTTCCACAATGTGAAAATTTCCATCATTGATCGTCTCCACGCTATTAAAAAAAAAAAGATAACTGATCCTCCAATTTTATATTTATTAAAGAAAAGGAGTTACAATTCAAACTCCAATAAGCTCTTTTTGGGAAAAGATACTCCTACTTAACATTAATAAAGATAAAGGCCAGTAGTTGATTTTAAAATAAAAGATATTTTCAAGGAGATACAATCATTTTTTATTTCTTGGGTAATACAAAATACAAAATAAGTTTGTTCTCCCATTGGGAGAAGTGGAAATGAATACATTTTATCATTATCCAATCACATTTTCCCAGTATGTAGAAATCCCAAAGCATAATTTATGCATTTGATTTTAAATGCCACTAAAGTTTCATTTGTTCAGATACTGTTACTTCAAATTGTATTCAAAAGACAACTAACTTATACCTGTGCCAAATATACTTTTTAGACATTGCTCTTAGGGGATCATTGGTCTCTGTACTTTTTTTTTTTTTTTTGCGGTACGCGGGCTTCTCACTGTTACGGTCTCTCCCGTTGCGGAGCACAGGCTCCGGACGCGCAGGCTCAGCGGCCATGGCTCACGGGCCCAGCCGCTCCGCGGCATGTGGGATCTTCCCGGACCGGGGCACGAACCTGTGTCCCCTGCATCGGCAGGGGGGCTCTCAACCACTGTACCACCAGGGAAGCCCAGTCTCTGTACTCTTAAGCACTACACAGTAATACTTATCAGAATCAAACATACATATAAATGCAGGAAGAACCAACTTGGCAGGATCATTGCACTTTTTGAAATTTGTTAATTAATAACATACTCTCATTTTCTTTGCATTTTTCAGAAGGATGTCCATCAAATGATATTACTGTGAAGATGATTACGCTCAGTGGAGAGGTGGGAATAATGGATTAAATAGAATGCTTAACATAGTCATGTCTAGGGAGTCTAGTGATGACAATGGTTCTTCAATTTCTCTTCTATAACTTTAAAGGGACAGGTCCAACAATCATTACATCCGCCTTCTTAACAATTTGAGAGGGCTTATGAAAATTCATAAAATGGACAAAAACAGAGATTAAGAAAGAGGTAAATGGAAAATGACAATTGAAAATGAAGTTGGGTGCAATTAGCAAGTAGATGCTATAAGGTTTTAAAGAGTGGCTGTCAATCTAACACAAGTGTTACATTAGGCAAAGATGCAAACAGGACAAACTGAAACAGGAGCTACAAAGAAAACAGGATCAATAGCGAATATTAAAGAACTAATATACTGAGATGTTGACTCGAAAGATTGGAAAAAGGGCTCAAAAAGGGAAATATGGGAACATACTATAAGGAGGATCGTGAATACCTAATAGTCCCTATGCAAGATGATTGCTTAAATTTCCAGGCACTGATATTTAAATTTGCAAATACGTCAAGCCTGGAAAATAACAGAAAAATGTCTAGATATTTCTTCATGGTTCTCACCACAGGAGTCTAATCTTATTCCATTGTTTGCCGACATGGAATAAAATGTTTTTGTGATTTGACAACAATATAAAACATTCTGCAGAGCTGTGAAAACACCTGAAGTTCTCTGGTGTTAAGTAGTTAAAAGTGTCCACGTGTGCGGGAATTTTTAATAACCTGTTTCAGATATCATCTTTAAAAAAATAAATGTTAGATGTGCCAATCAATATTTTTGTGTTTTACACATTTAATTATCCCAACACTTGATACCACTAAAATCAACAGAGGAAACAATATACAAGGAAAATACTTTCTAAATAAAGTTGCATGCCAGATGTTAGTGGTCTTAAATAATACCAACTACTGGTTAAACATACAGATTTTAGAATCAGATAAGCCTGGATTTGAATGCTGGTCTTGCATTTATTAAATGTTTGACCTTAGATAAGTAACTTAATTGCTAATAAACTTCAATCTCCTCTTCAGTAAATGCTAACAAATATTCCCCCCTCCTATAGTTCATTTGAGGTCTATCCCTATGAAATGATTTTTTAAAAGGCAGAACAAAACATCTAGCTTATAGAAAGTGCAAAGTTAAAATTTTTAATATTAATTGTAAGATAATGCTAAAGACTGGCAGAAATATAATAACTTCTTTGGGGACATATTCAAATTATTTAGAAGTTTTAAGTAAAACATTAATATAAAGATATACATAGAGAAGGTGGTAGTCAATTGCTTTTTCCTTTGTCATCATATACAACTCTTTAAGTGGTTTTATATGAATGCTCTGTGAACAATGACCTTATTGAATTTATAAATATTAATAATGGGCCCCCTTTTCCCTTTACAGTTGCAAAGAAAAAGACTCATTTGTACTAGGGAACTGGTTCTTGGTCACACATCAGTCTTAGGCAATCGATCTAGGTATGTCATTGTTGATGATGGGGTTTGGTGCAGTGTAACTGAAAGGTTTAATACCTTTAAAGTCCTGCACACTCTAAAGCAGTGTTTCAGCTGGGAAGCTGGAGGTAGGTAGTTTCACTTTTAACTCATTTTACTTCCTACTCCTTTATTCCTTGCTTTTCTTTCTTCTTTCTTTCTTCCTTTTTTTTTTTTTTTCCTGAGTACATGTCTTTAACTCCCACTAATTGTAAGCTCCTTTAAATCAGTGGCCCTGTATTATTTATTTCTTCCTTAATGTATCCAGTAGTGTCTGGTAAATAGTAGATGCTCAATAAATGTATGTTAAGTAAATTAAAGATAGGGGAGTTGTATTAAGAATAACATATAGGGCTTCCCTGGTGGCGTAGTGGTTGAGAGTCCACCTGCCAATGCAGGAGACACGAGTTCATGCCCCGGTCTGGGAAGATCCCACATGCCATGGAGCGGCTGGGCCCGTGAGCCATGGCCACTGACCCTGCGCGTCCGGAGCCTGTGCTCCACAACGGGAGAGGCCACAACAGTGAGAGGCCCATGTACCGCAAAAAAAAAAAAAAAAAAAGAATAACATATAGAGTTTATTTAGTAATACTAGTTGGATTACAGTTATAGATAGTCAAGGTCCTTCAGGCATACTTAGGACAGGACATCCAAAAGATGCATTTTATTAAAAAATTTGGAATTATCAGTGGTGATATCCTGAAAGATAATGTTGGGAGGTAAGTCTTGCTCAGCTTATCCTAGCTCCTGTTAGATGTGTGACACTGAATTACTGTGACTTCAGGTAATTTTTCTCTGCTTTCTTTTCCTCACTAGGGAAATGCAAGTAATAAGATCAAAGAATTGCACAGCACCTACTATGGGGCAACTTCGCATGCGTTAACTCATTTAAGACTCACAACTCTAAATTTGGGCACTTAGGGTACCCAAGATGGCACAGCCAGTGGCTAAACAGATTTGAAGACAGGTTGTCTGGTTCTAGAGTACGTGCTTTTAACTATTATCCATCACTTTTTAAATTTTATTTATTTTATTTATTTATTTTTTGCAGGCCTGTCACTGTTGTGGCCTCTCCCGTTGCGGAGCACAGGCTCCGGATGCGCAGGCTCAGCGGCCATGGCTCACGGGCCCAGCCGCTCCGCAGCATGTGGGATCCTCCCGGACCGGGGCACGAACCCGTGTCTCCTGCATCAGCAGGCAGACTCTCAACCACTGCGCCACCAGGGAAGCCCTATCCATCACTTTTAAAATAAAAAACCTGAAGAGTATCTAGTACTGTACAAATGGCATGTGTTTGTTCTCACCAGTAGCCAGCCTTTAATAGATGATTTCTCTCCCAAACAGCCCAGGAATAAAGTTCTATGAGAAAAGTCTTATAATGATGGTTGCACAACTTGGTACATTTACTAAAAATCATTGAACGCATATGAGATATACAGATTTGAAACTTGTTTTTGGCTTCTCTTTTCCCAATTATAAGTGAAGTTCAGACTGACTACACTTTTCTCCTCCCAAAAGCTTTCAATGTCTAATCTGATGATCCCAGAACTTGGTAAGAGTTACCACTGAGCTTAATTCGGTTTATATTTCTCAGAATTAAGTGAGGCTTTGCCCAGGCTTTTAACAGATAAGTACTGTGAAATTAATATTTTTAGATTCTTTGGTTTTAAGATGGTATTGTGTGTATGGGGCCTGAAGAGAATATGGCAGAGCTAAGAGTATTCTAAATTGGTGTTTCATGCTGTCTCCTAAAGCCAGAGATCTGGGGGATGCCCAGGAGTCCTTTGTTTATATACCCTTTCAAAATAAAAGCAGTGATTGACACACCAGTTGTTGCAGAATAAAACTAAGATATCATCGATTTTACAGTCTGTCACGGTCATCTCCTACCTATCCACCTGCAATGTGTAACATCCTTCTGGGTCCTGACAAGTATTGACAAACACTCACTACTCCCTAGGGAACTATATACTCCATGACTCACAAAAGTTGCAAGTGAACCACTTAACAGTGAGCCTTTCCACTAGGAACATAAATTGCATTTACTACTTTTATTATGTAATTCAGTTTTACTACACTCATCTATTACCTGAGATTTTGTTTTCTTGGATTTCTAAATGGATGTGTGAAAACAAAGCCATTACTCAATTGTCTCTTGGTTTGCTATAGAAAAAGAGTTTAAAAACTTGGGGCTTAAAAGAAGAGTGGCTCTAAATTGTCTTTGATTGTCTTTATGTCTTCAGGACTCATTAACAATGATATTGTTGTATTTCTATCTCAATTGTAAATCTTAAGGTATTTCAGTGGAGTAAAGATAAATAGTTCACTTTGCTTATGTGAACTCCTGCTTTTTTGCCAAGTATTTGTTGGCATATTCTGTGCAATAGAATAGGAATAAAAAACTAGACAAATTCAATTGGCCACCTCATTTTGATATCTCTGGTCTAAAGATGCTTCATTTGTGGAGTGTGGATGCTAATAAAAAATTTCGTGCCCACGTGAGTGGAAGGAATGGGAAGCCAAGTGGGATTAAAGGTATTTATGCACTAGCATAAGAGTTTTCAGAAGAATGTTTTATAAAATAATTTATCAAGTAAAGTTGTATTTTGAATCGAATTACAGATCTTCCTGAACTTACAATGGGCT